CCCCACGAGGATTCTGCAGTTATAAAACTTCAGCCTGCAGAGTTCTTTCCTTGGCCCTCTTCCATCTCTGCTCCATCTCTCTCCAAACAGGAGTCCACATTAAGCTGTCAGTATGTTTTACAGTCAACCAAACCGTTCTGACTTCATTTCAAATATGGAGCTTCTGTATTGTAGCACTCCAGTTCTTTAATAATTAAAGGGCTGCCTCTCCCGAATCAGTGCACACGGGTGTACACACATGTGCAGCACAGACATGGATTTGATGAGGTCCTGCCTGTGCCTTGTGGGCTGCGCTGCCTCTGGCATTCCATCTCACTTTCGTGAAATACTGGCCCCTGCCTACTGTATTGGCTTCTTGCTGTTTAACTGTTTAAATTGGTGCTGTGCAAACTTGGGTGCACAAGAAGAATCATGTGGAGGCCTCGTTAAAACAAACTGCTGGGCCCCACCCTCAATGGTCCTCATTCCATAGATCAGCACTGGGCCTGGAGACTTTGCCTCCTAACGAGCAGCCCAAGGATGCTGATGCCGCGAGATCTCGGGCCACACCTGAAGAAGCGCTGGTCTAAATGACACTTTCCTGCACGTAGTCGGAGCTGTTGTTTCAATAGCTCAGTCACTCTTTAAGAAACCAGAGCCCCGGCTCTTTAAAATTCCTAGTATTTGAAGCATTTTCGTATGCTCTATTTGGCTTCCTCCTTACATGGTTCAATGATGATATTCTGGCCAACGACTTTTAGGGTTCAGATTTAGATTGTATTGTTAAAGCTCTTTGTGTTGACAAACTTGGTGGCCAGAAACCCACACTGAAACAGATAAGCTAGTTGTGGGCTTATCGATAAAAATACCTGACTGGTCATTTTGCTATTGTCTGGTTTGAATTTCAGCCGGGGTGAGTCTTCTCCTTTCAGCAGTTACTCTTTTTTCGTGCTTCTCTCTCCTCTCTTGACCACTCTTTTAAAGCTGTGCTGGATCAGACCCTGGATGTGTAGGATGACAGATTCGCCAGGGCAGAGACCTCTCGCGCCCGCCCTTTCAGCTGGCCCCGGGCTCTCCTGCAGCCTGAAGCAGCCCCGTCCCCTGCACTGAAGTCTCTGCATCCCACTTCGCCTCTGCAAGATGGTCATGGCTTTGCATTTCATTTACAGTTCAGTGTTATACCCTGCCCCGTCTCTTTCCCACACTCTAAGTCTATGTGTATAATAATCTATCCTTAAATAGGCCTCTTTCCTACTATTATATTTCTTTCATCTTTTAAAGAAAGAAGTGGACCATCTAAAGATTAAAGTTTATCTTAATGCAGCCCACAGAAAATGCTGGTTAGGATTTTCGTAGTAATGAGAAGCTTGTCTCTTAAAGTCTAACACTAAAGTTAGTGTAGAGGAATGCTTAGGAATCACATCGTTGGCTAATTTTTCAGAGAACATCAATAGTTTATTTAATGTATGTAACAGACTTTTGTTCTTCGGTCATGAGTAAGCCAAACCCGTCCTTCCCTTTATGCTCATTGATTCGTTAATCAGCCGCGCCCGTCTCCCACAGGATGGAGCCAATCATGGCAGAATTGTGCGCACACCCCACAGAGCGGGGGAGCTCAGGCCAGGGGGAGGGCCGGGCTCTGTCTAGCACTGGCTGCAGGATTTAGGGCAAGCCACTCACCCTGGCCAGACCCGTTTCCTCTGTAAAATGCAGATGATCTTCAGGCCAGTCCCACGGCGCAGAGGAGTCTCAAAAGTGCCAGCCTCTCTCTGAAAATACTTTGAAATGTGTTAACAGATACACAGATTTTCATCTCAATGTTGTTATCCCTAGCAGGTTGTAGTCGTTTGCATGTTACCTCTGGCAGTTTGTGAATTGTGCACGTTAATATATACTGGTACTCACTGGAACTGATTTTATCACATCATGTAATTTTGATATATTACTCACACTTAAGGATTTATTGTTAATAATTATTTAGCAGTGATTTGCTAATAAATATGTACATCCTTAATCTTGATGATAATATGACATGATGACAAACCAACATGTTTCTACCATAGGATATATATATGTATATATACATATATTTGAAATTTAATTGTCATTAAGAGACCAAGGACTTGCTATTTGAAGTCTGTAATACTTAAAGCTTTTAAAAATGTTCTCTTGATTAAAAAGGGTAGTTAAGGAAACCTGAAGAACACTGAAGAGAGAAATTGAGGAAGATTCAAATAAATGGAAGCATATACCGTGTTCATGGATTAGAAGAATTAGCATCATTAAAATGTCCATGCTACCCAAAACAATCTATAAATACAACACATTAAATTCCTATTAAAATACCAAAGGCATAGTTCACAGATCTAGAACAAATACTCCAAAAATTTGTATGGAACCAAAAAAGACCACGAATAGTCTCAGCAATCCTGAGAAAAAAGGACAAAGTTGGAGGGATCACAATACCTGATATCAAACTATACTACAAGGCCACTGTAATCAAAACAGGCTGGTACTGGCATAAGAACAGACACATAGCTCAATGGACAGCCCAGAATAAAGAGCCCAGAAATAAACCCAAGTCTCTATGGTCAATTAATATTTGACAAAGGGGGCATGAGCAAACAGTGGGGTAAAAATGGCCTCTTCAATAAATAGTGTTGGGAGAACTGGACTGGTACCTGCAAAAAAATGAAACTAGACCACCAACTAACACCATACACCAGAATAAACTAAAAATGGAAAAAGGTCTTAAATATAAGTCATGATACCATAAAAATCCTAGTGGAAAACATAGGCAGGAGAATTTCAGATATCCCACGTAACAGTATTTTTGCTGATATATCTCCTAGGGCAAGGGAAGTAAAGAAAAAAATAAACAAATGGGACTGCACCAAATTAAAAAGCTTCTGCACAGCTAAAGAAACCATCATCAAAACGAAAAGGGAACTCACTGTGTGGGAGAACATATTTGCCAATGATACATTGGGCAAGGGTTCAATCTCCAAAATTTGTAAAGAACTCATAAAACTCAACACCAGGAAGACATCAACCCAATTAAAAAATGGACAAAGGACTTGAACAGACACACTTCTCCAATGGGGCCACACAGAGGGCCCATAAACATATGAAAAAAATGCTCAGCATTTCTAACCACCAGAGAAATGCAAATTAAACCACCGTGAGATATCATCTCACAGCTGTCAGAAGGGCGATCATTAATAAATTAACAAACAACAAGTTCTGGCGAGGTTGTGGAGAAAAGGGGACCTTCACGCACTGGTGTGGGAATGCAAACTAGTGCAGCCACTGTGGAAAACAGTATGGAATTTCCTCAAAAAGTTAAAATGGAACTGCCTTTTGACGCAGCAATCCCACTGCTGGGATTATACCCTAAGAACCCTGAAACACCAATGCAAAAGAACTTATGCATCCCTACCTATGTTCATAGCAGCACTATTTACAATAGCCAAGTGTTGGAAACAGCCCAAGTGGCCCTCAGGAGATGAGTGGATTAAAAAACTGTGGTGCATACCACACAGCAGAAAGAAAAAAGGAATTTCTACCTTTTGCGACAGCGTGGATGAAACTGGAGACTATTATGCTAAGTGAAATAAGCCAGTCAACAAAAAACAAATCCTATATGACCTCGCATATGACTGGAATCTAATGAACAAAATAAACTAAGGCGAAAAATAGAATCAGAGACATGGGAACATGGAGCAGACTGACAGCTGCAGGAGGGGAGGAGGTAATGGTGAAAGGAAGGGAAGGGACGAAAGAACACAGAACACGTATGAATGACCCTCGGACACGGACGACACTGGGATGGACTGCGGGAGCAGGGGGTGGGCTGGGTAGACGAGAGCAAACGAGAAAAAGTTGGGATAACTGTAATGGGATAAGCAATAAAAAACAAAAAATAACATTATAGAACCCTTAAAAATAAATGGTAGTTAAATTACACTTTCACTAAATTACACTTTGGTGACCTGAATAGGATTCAATGTGTAACAAAAGTATTTTATGGTAACTGGTGACCAGGTCCCTAAGCTGTGTCACTCTGGAATCCTTTTCCTTTCTGAAAACAGTTTAACACACTATGTCAGCACCTGCTGATAAAAAAAAAAACAACTTAATTCTGGCTTATCAGAGAGATATGGAGTATTAATAAGAGCTTAAGTATTTATATTATGCTCTATTCTCAATCCACTTTGACTTGCAAACAATGTTTTGAAAAAATAATCTTTAAAAACCCTTGTTTTAAACCCTTAATACACACACAAAAAAAACCCCCACAACCCATGATGCTTTTCCCTGATTATGAAGAAATCTCTTGGATTCCGTGCATAGCAGAATAAAGGAATCCTGGATATTTATTAGGGTCATACTGTTGAAGAGACACAAAATTTAGTGGAAAGGTGTGTCATGGGGTCAATACTGAGGGGATTTTCCCAGCATACAGAACTGAATAGCTTGGAGGAAAAAAATCACTTCCTGCTACATGGTATTGGGTTGGCCAAAATTTTCTTTCTTTTTTTTTTCCATAAGATGGTTCTAGTAGCACTTTGTTGCCTTGAACTTCATTTGAAACAATTTTGTTAAATGGTATTGTGACAGCTGTCATATCAGCGAGCATTTTTTAAAAAACATATCGAAATTGGTGAATTTTTGCAGTCATTTTAATACTGAAGATGGAAGAAAATATGCAACATTTTTGGTGTATGAGGCTTTACCATTTCAGGAAAGGCTAAAACACACAAAAAGATCTGTGCCGTGTGTGGAGAAGGCGCTGTGACTGATTGAATGTGTCAAAAGTGGTTTGTGAAGTTTCGTGCTGGAGATTTCTTGCTGGAAGACGCTCCATAGTCAGGTAGACCAGCTGAAGCCAACAACAATCAAATCGAGACTTGAACGGAGAACAATAATGTTATACCACGTGGGAGATAGCTGACATACTCAAAATATCCAAATCAATAAAGTTTTTGGTGAAAATGAAAAATGTATCTTGTATTTTGCAGAAAAAAACTAAATGGACTTTTTGGCCAGCCCGATGCATGTGGTCGCATAAGCACTCCCCTCCCTGCTTCCTGTCACTCATTTAAGTCACTGTGGCGACGACGCATGAACGATGAAAAGGTACGGTAAGACGTTTTCCCTGCCCACCGCCTCCCCCAAATCTAAGGAAAAGCCCCAATTGAAGTAAGCCCCTTACGTTAAGCCTAGATTGCAAATGTCTCCCAAGTACAGGAACTCTGTTCCCTGTTTTGTCTTTAACTCTGTAACGTGTCTGCTTCCAGAGGCCCGAGACAATCGCACATTCAGGAACTGCTGTGGAACTCTCGGGGCAGCGGTGACAATACAGGTCCTGAGCTACTGCTGACTTCCCGGGCTGTCATTACCACACTCGGTCTGTGTTTCAAAAGGGCTGTTTTCGTCACTTCTCAGCCAGGACCGTTCCGCTCCTTAGGGAGCCAGTTCCCTTCTCTTTTAGTTGCTGCTGCTCAGTAGGTGCCCCCAGGTGAGGCCAGGTTGGGAATGGTTAGCCCCGAGCCGCAGGACTACCCTTCCCTGGCACCAAGAGAGTGTTGAGCCATAAGAGCTACTGCTCGACTTGCTCCACCCTCTGTTTCCCAGAATTTAGCTGGGTGCTGGCTGCATTCTAGGCATGTGGGTCTAAACCCGGTAGGTTCCATAACACAGCCCTGAACTGGGTCATCCCCAATGCGCGGAAACATCAGGACACCTTGGGACCCACACTGGAGATGTTCTGTCCTCCCTTAAAGAACAAGTGACTGAGCATTTTGTCATGTGCCAGGCCCTGTGCTTAGCTCTGGGAATACTAAGTTAAACCAAACTGGGCCCCTGCCTTCAAAAACCTTCTTGCTGGTAGTCAAGGGACACAGACATAAAGAATGAGATGACTCCAGTGCAGCATGGTAAAGAAGGCAGCAGCCGGGTGCAAGGATGGGGGCAGGGGGCAGGAGGAAGACACATTCCCAGAAGTGACACTGAGCTGCATGCTGAGAAAGTTGGCCTAAGCAGCCACAGGCATTCCAGGCTGAGGGCACATGAAGCAAGAGAGAGCTCTGAGCGTTCGCAGAGCTGCGGGCAGTTCATTGCAGCTGGAATGGAGGGTGGGAGACGCTGAGGTGAGCAGATAGCCTGGAAAAGTAGGTCGAGGCACAGTCCAACTGGCTCGGCGTGCTGGGCTACGAGGCTGGAATCAATCCAGAAGGCAGAAGGGAACCACTTTCATAAACAGGAAGTTGAGAAGGATCACAGGCAGGATTTTGGGAAATGTATTGATTGGGGGGGAGGAAAGCACAGTGAAGTAGAAGAATGGGGGGGCTGATGGAGGGCAGATTCAAAAGCTGTTAAGGCAGTCGCCTCCACAGGTCTCGAAGACCAATCGGATGTTGCCATTGGCTGAGAAGAAACACTCAAAGGGTAACAGGAAAGCTTTCCAGTACTGGTAGCACTGGGTAGGAAAGATCAAGTTTGAGAAGTGGGGAGATGAATCCAGCTTCACAAAGCAGAACGAAACCAGCTGTTAGGCGTGGCAGGGCACAGGCCAAGTTCTGTTGGCTTTAGGCATCCAATGCAGCGCTGAATTAACATGCAGGTATCAACAGGTCACCCTAGCCAGGTTCCGCAGAGCACTGGATTTCATTTTGCACCACGCTTCTCGGTGCTGGAACCGGGACTCCTGCTCTGCATGTGCATCTGTTGGTGCTGTTCCTGGGACAGACACCCTGAAAATGGGGAGGCACTGGGTGGGCAGAGTTAGTGCTGTCAGTCCCTGGAGGGCAACCAAATGCCCCTGCTGGGTGGGGCACATTTCTTTTCCTCCATTGTTAGCATTCCACATGCAAAGGAAATCTGGGCCTTGTTATCTTCCAGCACGGTCCACTGTCTAAACAACATCTTCCTACTATACCGAACTGGCTTATTAAAAAGGTCACTACCTCAAAAATTGCATCAGACATTATTTTTAAAATAATGACTGTGATAGGCAGAAATACGCCCACCCAAAGATGGCCACACCCTGGAATGTGTGATTAAGCCACCTTACCAGGCAAGAGGCACTTTGCAGATATAAATTAAGCATCTTGAGATAAGGTGGTGGTTCTAGATTATCTCAGTGGGCCCAATGAACAATAATTACAAATCCCCTTATCGGGAAAGAGTGAGGAGGAGAGTCGGAGGCAGAGTGGCACCTGGGACAGAGTCTATGAGCTACTGTCGGCTTTGGAGACAGAAGGAGCCACGAGGCAAGGAATGCCGGTGGCTTCTAGAAGCTACAAAGGCAAGGAAACGGACGCTTCTTGACAGCCCCTGCGAGGAGCACAGCCCTGCTGACGTCTTTATTTTAGCCCGGTGAGGCCCATTTCTGACCTCCGACCTCTGGACCTGTGAGATAATCAGTTTGTATTGTTGTAAGCACCTAAATTGATGGCAATTAGTCCCAGCTGCAATAGGAAACTAATACGCTGACTGTTCTTTAGGATTTCAAAAGCCCCCTGGTTACAAGCTGCCTCAAAATCAAAACTAGTAAACATGGCCACAAAACCCTCCCGTGGCTGACCGCACATACTATTTTCCTTGGCTTCTGGCCCACCCTGAAGCCCGGAGCACAGGACACCGTGGGTTCCTGAAGGTGGACATTACAGGTAGCTGAGGTGGCGTTCTGCTTTTAAAAACCCTAAGTGCCAGCAGGGCCTTCCCATCACCTGCCCAAACAGAGCGCTGTGGGCCGCCTCCCCAGTGCCAGCACTGAGGCTATTAGAAAGTCGCAGGATTGAAAGGGGAAGCCTTTGGTTCAGGGTTTCCATGTTCCGAGAGAACTCTGGAGAGTCAGAATCTGTAAGCACAGGATCTATTTGGTGAAATTACGGTTCTGAAAATAGCCGTGTGTTTGCCAGGACCTGCAGAAGGACCTGCAGAAGGACCCAGGTGAGGGTGTCCTCCTCAGAGAGAAGGCAGCTGCTGGGAAAGTCCACACTGACACCTAGTGATACAAAACCGCACTGCCAAAGGCTCGGACCGAAGCGGTTCACTTCGCTGGGCTCCTCCTTTGTGATGGACGGGCCTCCCCTTTCCCTCCCCCCGCCTTGCCCCCTTCTGCTGTCCGGGCCAAGAGGGCTGAAGGCTCAGTGCAGACCAGGTGACTTCAGCTGCCCCAGCGCAGCCTTGGAGGTCACGCTTCTTTATGCTTGTGTGCACCGGTGCAAAGTTTAACCATCTAAGCCTCTTGCCTCCTAATTTTTTAAAATGATGATTTCTGCACATTTTAAAGCTAAAGATGGTACTTCTAAAAGCCCTTTTATGCTCCTGGTGGCCAGATACTTGAGTGCCAAATGAGTTTAAGAGCATTTCTATTTTCTAGGTTCACAGGACAATCACTGCGGCTGTGAGGTCCTGAGCAAGGAACACCCCCCACCAGGGACAGGCCAGGTGCCGCAGGTCCTGGCCCTTCTGTGCCCCTCGAGCTCTCCCTGCCTCCTGTTCTCCCCAACTATGATGCCTGAAGCACAGGGGAGATGGCAAAGAATGCCCTTCCATTGTTCCCCTTTCCCCCAACGCACGTGGTGAAAATAAGTCAACGGAGGTGAGATTTTTATTTCCTTCCTGAATGGGGACAGAATTAGAAGCAAGACAGGATTTCAGAGGCTGCTGCAGCGCCCAGGTGAAAAATGACGAGGGGTCGCAGAGCCGTGTGCGTGCACTTAAGGCCACTAAGCTGTGCACTTAACAATTCTTAAAATGGTAAATTCTATGTTATATATGTTATACCACAATTAAACCAATGAGAGGCGACCCGCAGGAGTAGCAGTAGGACTGGGAGAGGATTCCAGCCTTATCAAACGACTGGATGCAGACACATTTTAATATTCATTTGGGCAAAACGTGCGGAGTAAGAGCCAGTGAACAAATACAAAACTCTCCAGAAACACTCGTACAACCTTCTTATTGAAACAAGCGGATCTAAACGTCGTGAAATACCCAGATTTTCCCACGAAGTGTGGTTTTCTCCATACACTTAGGACATTTTCTTCCATGACACGTAAATATCAGGCTTCAAGGAAATCACACAGACGGATGGGAAAGCAAAACATGCTGAACTAAAAGCACCCGGATTTTGTAAAGAAAGGGGACTCATGCCCCGCTGTGAGGCATGCCTTACTCAGTTCTGACTGTCAGAAGCACAAGAGAGGCAAAAACATGGCCGGAACTCGGCTGCCTCTGTGCGCTGAGCACAAGAGAAAAGGAGAAGTAGGAACGGGCGTCAGACGTAACATGTACAAACAGCAGATTCATAGGTTTTGGTGATGATGGATTGTTGTTTTTTAGAATTTGTAATTCGTTGAAATAGTGATTCATTGAATTCCCAGGGAGAAATGAAAAGAACTCTGCAATTTCTTCAGTGAAACGTAGCATTTCAATTAAGTGTTCAGACGTACATCCATATGGCTTCTCCAGTGTATCTTTTAACAGATGGCTTACTAATAATAAGTTTGTGCTGTTCCTTCATCTCCCCACCAACCAAGGATTGGGGAAGGAAGGGAAATACATTGTCAAGACCAAGATTAATGAGGAGTATGACAGCAGCAATTAGAATTTCATTTTAATACAGCAGGATTTTTTTTTTTTTCTACTGAGTTAAAGTTATTTGATAATGGCTCAGGAGTTCCAATAACAAAAGAGTTTCTTCTGGTGTCCACAAAGAACTTCAAACGTACACCTTAAAAAAATTTTTAAGCCCCACCAAGCAGAAAATTTACCTAGCTCAGTGCACAGGGCCTTTGGAGAGACAAGAGTTTTGGGAGCCAGGCCGTCTCCTCTAGGATTTCCGTCAACTCGGCCACCACCCAGGGGAAACCCATGTCTGTCATTGTACCCTCAGTTCACAATCCTGCAGCGAGAGTGACCCACGGCCACACTCGAAACGGCAATGGCTTGATGATTCGAATAACAGAAGCTGTCTTGTTTTTCCTGTTTGGTGCAATCAAGCTAATGGCTTTTGTATGATTTTCCAAACTGCTTAATGAATATTTTATGATTTAAAATAATTATCTTTCTTAGCAGGCAACATTATAAAGAATCCAGACTTCCTCGTGTGAAGAGTGGAGAGCCTCAAGACGAAGTTTCTATCTGCCGGGACCGTAATTCCAGGCGCCGGTCTGCCGACCCACGGCAGTCAGTGCGGAGGTGTTCCCAGTGACATCAGAAAAGTGAGGACGAGGCAGTCATAGCTTTCTGATCCGTGAAAACCTAAATGTCTGTTAATAGCATGATGGTTCCTCAAAAAATTAAGCCCAAAACTACCATGGCATCCAGCAACCCCACCTCTGATACGGACCCAAGAGAATCGAAAGCAGGGACTCAAACAGACATGCGCACACCCATGTTCCCAGCAGCGTTATTCACACGGTCAAAAGGTGGAAGCCACCTGCGTCCGTGAACAGGTGAGTGGGTAAACAGGACGTGGCCTGTGCATACACTGGAATGTTATCCAGACTCAAAAAGGAAGGAGATTCTGACATACTAAAACATGGGTGAATCTTGAAGACAGTAGGCTAAGTGAAATAAGCCAGCCACAAAAAGACAAACACCGTCCGCGGTTCTACTTACGGAGGGACCTAGAGAAGTCAAATTCGTACAGACAGGAAGCAGGGTGGTGGGGGCCAGGCGCCGGGGGCAGTGGGAACCGGCGAGTAGTTGTTAATGGGGACCGAGTTTCAGCTGTGCGGGGTGGGAGGCGGTCTAGAGATTGATTGCACAGCGGTAGAATGCAATGAACGCTGAAAACCTTAAAAATGGTTAAGATAATTTTATGTGATGTGTATTTACCAGAATTAAAAATTTCTTTACAATTTCTTAAAGCTAAATGTATTCCATTTATAAGACTTCCCTTCAGTTCAAGGTTATGTCCTTTCTGCTCTTTTGATAGATTTGGGGAGATTTGTTTTTCTGTTTATTTGGAGTTCTTTGGTTTTGTCATTTCAGACAATGAAAGATTCGCACTCTGCTATTGAACCCTGAGCTCATTTTGAATTTTTCTTGGCCTCCAGAACCTACCAGAGGGGAACTGCAGCTCCAGAGATCAGTGGTCCCCTCCTTTGATTTCCCTGCCTGGAGTGGTAGGAGACACCCCCAGAAACCAGAGCAATAGGGCTTATTGTCAGCTGGAATTTTGGCCCTAATAGGGGGAGGGTGCATATCAGAATGGCTGGGAATCTAGACACAGGTGTAAACGTTTCTACAAGGGACCTCTCCCCGCCTCCCAGGTGGCATTGACCCCGTCCCCAAACTTAGCTAAACTGAGAATCCCTGCCTCGTAGTACCGATACAGCCAACATATTTCAGCGGGGCCAGAAGGGACCTGGCCACCTCATCAAGTCGCCCTGCTGCCTTCTGTACAAGGCTGTGCCTTCGCCTCCTAGCAAGTGGGCGGGGCTTCCAGGGGAGGCACGTCCTTCTGAAACACCCAACAACCAATACCGCAGGAAGGCTTCCTTTATTTCTGACACCAGCCCTTCACCCCGGAATTTGAACACATTTTTCTTTCCTCTCCAGGACAAGTCCTTTAGTTATTCTGGGCTATTGTTTCCTCAGGGGAAGAAATTGAAGGAATTAAGTCAGGACTTCCACAGCGTGGCTTGTGGTCCATCAGTGGGTCAGTAAAGCGTGGCCAGCATTTTTTTTTTCTAAAGAAAGAATTGGGAGACTAGGAAAATCAAAACATATCCCATGTAGAAAAGGTATTGTTTCATGAAACTTTATCTATATTCTGGGCTGACACACAAAATGTGTCTTTGAATGTGGGCAATCATCAAAGAAGTTAGAAAACCATTTGGATTCATTAAATAACCTCTGTCATATGCTGCAGCCCACCACTGTGTGAATCTCACTTTTATAGTAAACAAGAAGTCATCTGCACCAGCTCACCGTCCCTCTAACAAATCTAAGGAGCTCCTATCCATCCCAGAGATGAATGTGGTTTCCTGTGAGCAAGCTGCCCTGATTCCTTCCTGCAGACTCAGCCATCAGGCCCACCCCTGGATCGCCCCTGGCCCTCGGGATAAAGAGTTTCACAGTGCTTACTCTGCTATATTGGCATTGTTAGTCCCTCTCCCCAGCAAGGCGTGCTTTGTACCTCAGTGAGGTGGGGTGCACAGAAGGAAAACGAGCCAGGGAAAGAAGGAAGGAACCAACGGCTGTATTTGCTTAAAGCAGCGGTTTTCAGGCAGCTGTCACATCAGACTCCCCTAGGGAAGCTTTTAAAACCGCACTCAGACAATTCAAGTAGAATGCTGACAATGGAAGCCAGGCACCAGGAATCTTTAAAGCTCCCCAGGGGAGTTCAATGTGCAGACAAGGTTGAGACCCACTGGACAGATCAGGACCTGGTCTCTTACAAAACAGATTCTGATCCCCTGGGGCTGGAGTGGAGCTCAGGATTCTTTGTAACATACTTCCAGGTGATACTGAGGCCCTGGGTCTACAGACTAGACTTCGAGGAGCAAAGGAAGAGTGTCCGATGGACACTGGCAACAGAAAATGAGCTGAGAGAGCAACCTCAAATAGGCCTGCAAGACAGAGGAGGTAATACCAGCCATGCAGTTTCTGGAATTGGCTGACTGGCATAGTCTTTTACTAGCTACCTGAGCTAGGGCTGGTTACTAAAGGGATTTCCCATGTGATGATGGAGATACAACAGTAACTTAACTCAGAGGGTGCTCGTGAGGACCAAGCAGCATACTTTATGGAGACCCCAGCACATACGTGTTCATTTTGCTGTTCTGGTCATGTGTCCCAACCCGCTTCACTGGCTTCGTGCCCTTGGTCAATTACCTGAACTCCCTGAGCTTCAGTTTCCTCAAATGTGAAATGGGAAATCGCAAAATTCATCTTCCAAGTTTGGCTTTACGGAAGGAAGTGGTATGTAACATTCTTAGCACGGTATTTGACCCGTGTGCTTGTTCAAAAAATGGTTAATCTTCTAATTAGTTTTGTTTGTATCGGAATAATGCACTGTGACCTCCCGTCGGGACATTCTCTCTATAACCATCTGTCAGATCTCCGAATCTCCTGCCCCCGCCCTCCACAGGCCCTAGGCTGCGGGGACAGATGACAGGAGGTGGGGGGGGGATATGTCACTCTCTATGTCAACATGTTACACTTCAACAGCAGGATTCGGTTTTTTATCACCCTCCTGAGCTCGCATGGGTAGGTCTGGGCAGCAGCCATTACCCTCCTTATTACTTTACAGATGAAGAAGAAATCAACCTGGCTAGGACACGTTGGATTTTCTCAAGCAATCCCATATGGAGGATAAAAGCTCTTGCTTCTAATCAGAGCCAGAGAAAATACTTGTGGTTTCATGCTTCTCTACAACCCCTTTTTCTAAACGCTCGGAAGGCCTGCCGTGTGCCAGGTGTTGTGCCAGATTCAAAGCAGAACCCGTAACAGCGATTTGAACAAATTGCCATAGGATTTCAACGGGGGTCTAGGGGTTGGGGGCGGCAGGCTGTGATGTTTCACAGAAGAAGCGCTAGTTCGGCTGGGTGGCGCAAGTTGAGGAGAGGCTGAGAAGTGGGCAACAGGGCAACGGTGTTCCAGAAGGGGGGCAGCTCAGGCAGGGATGACAAGGTGGGACGGGGCTCGGTGTGACTGGGGAAGGGTGGGCAGCCAGAGTGAAGATGATGGAGCTAGAAAGTTAGCCTGGGGCAGATGGCGAGCCAGATCAGAGAGTCTGGATTTCATTGTGTTAGCTGGGGTAGGATGACCGCATAATTCATCATCGAAATGCGTGGCTTTTAAGAGGAAAAGGACATGCTAACCAGATGGAATAACAGAACACCCAACATTAAACTGCACTGTTCCGGGCTAACAGGGGCCTCCCCTTGGGAGACCTCCAAGGCCTGACAGTGATCAGATCTGTGTGTTATGGAGGAAATTCCAGTAGCAGTGAGGATTGGAGAGAGGGGGGCTCCTGCAGTCAGGGAGACAGCTAGGAATGCGGTGGGGGTGGAGAGGAGAGACATCTGGTGATGCTTTTGTCAGAAATATAATGGATTGAATATAAAGAGAGAGAGAGAGAGATAATATTTCATGGCTCAGCAACTCCAGGCCAGGGGGGTGTGGGGACTAAAGAAGATAAGAAGAGAAACAGGTTTGGGGAAACGGTTTGTGCAGTCTGAGGCACAAGGAGTCAGAGATACTTGCCGCATACCGGTGTTGACATCAGTGTCCTGCAGGCCACTGCAGCTCAGGGCATGGAAGTCACAGGTGGAGATTGGGGATATACATGTTGTTGTTATAGGAGGTAATACGAGAAGGAAGAAGAGGAAGCAGGGAAGTTAGGGGGAGTCAGAGCAACAGGAGGAAAGCAGGAGGGAGGATAGCCCAGAAGGTGATAGAAGGAGGGGAAGGTCTTGGGTGCCGGAGACCAATTCATCCACTGAGCGAGCACTCTCAGGCAGGAAGAGAATGACGAACACTAGCATCCCACTTGACAGGGAGGCATCATCATCTCCCATCTTCTCAGGGCGGTGGAGGTTGAAGGCTGCGTGGGAATGCTGACCGGGAGGCAACCGCGGACCACTCTTTCCAGGAGGCTAGTGACGGCGAGCAGGAGAGAGAGTTCCAGCAGCCGGATGGGGAAGCAGTTTCCCCGCCTCGTTTTCCTAATGCTGCTTAAGTCTGGTGTAAACATGTGATCAGAAAGTTAAGACAAAGCAGCTGAATTTACCCTCGGTCCCCTGAGTTTCACTTTCAGTCCTGAGAGCTGAACTGGAAGTGCTCTTCCTCGTCCAGAGGGATGGAGGCTTTGAGCACTTAGGTTGAGAGTGTGTTTTCCAGCCACCAATCTTGACGCCTTGGCTCGGATTCAGAGGCAACTGGGTAACGGTCCCGTTAGAACGTTTCAGTGTCTAATGCTTTTGCACATTAGCATTGCGGGGCACTATCACTTAGCTATGATAAACAGTGAAAAGATCAATTAAAAGACTTTTACCTGATGAATATTCGTGATTCTGTGTAAGATCAAAGATGGCTGAATCAGTGCCCTCAGAGCCTGCAGAAAGGCAAAGATGGTGTCGGGCTTCCCAGAATTCTCAAGGCCTTGACCAACCTTGGTCTAAAGGTATGCAGGTCACCAACCTGGTCCTCGTGGTAGGTCATCTCCAGCAACAGAGACCTGTGGGCTCCACTCTAATCTAAAGCTGGAGAGAAAACCAGGTAATATAAAGTTCAGAGAAAGGAGATTCCCTTGAAGAATAAATAGAGAGGGCAACACCTTGAGAAGTTGCAGCTACCAAGGGCTGCAATTCTTGCTTTCACCTTCTGGTGCATGAAGGGATAAGTGGAAATAATTTGCTGGGATTCAGAAATGTTCCTGCAGATAGAACATGTGAGTTGTATTGGTAACAGCTCTCCTCTTTAATCTCTTACCATAATTCTCATTTAAAATTTCTCAGTCACCTTGTGCCTTCATTATAGCTCTACCATTGCTTTATCACACAGGCTGTGCGCGTGATAACTTTTGTTTCTCAAATTGCAAACACCCACACTGCCACCATCCATCAGTCTCAGGCAAGTCTGCCCCAGCCATGGGGGATTCAAGCACCTGGTCAATCTCCTTCTCCCCCAGGTAGTGTCATCCTCATGGAAGATTTCAAAACCGATTTGGATACTATCTGTCTTAGTCTGCTCATGCTGCTGAAACAAAACACCATCAACTGGGAAGCTTTGAAACAATAAATTGATTCCTCACAATTCTGAAGCTGGGAAGTCCAAGATCAAGGCATCAGTAGATTTGGTCCCTGATAAAGTTCTGCTTT